TCCTTGGGATGGGAATTTAAGCAGCTGTTCTCTGCAGGTTGTATCCTTGGGAGCACATTTTTTATCTGTGATGTGCCAGTGAATGGTTTGGAATAGCAGAATCCATCCATCCATCCATCCATCAATCAATAACTGTTCAATGTAAAATGTTCTTCCAGCTCAATCAAGTTTTTTTCACACCTGTACCTTTGAATGTAGTAGAGATAGAATAGAAATTATTTGCATTTCTGACAGAAAAAAAATATATTTTATAATATATTTTATATTATATTTTTTATATAAAAATTATTAATTAGAATAATACACCTTTCAGAAATATTCCAATGTAATAATAATAATAATAATGATAATAATAATAATAATACCTTTCAGTACTATTTATCCCAATATAACGGGAAGGAAACAAATGGCAGAATAACAAGCTGAACTGTTTTTTCTTTGCCTACTCCTGCTAGTGCTGATGGGACATATGAAGTGTCCTTTTACTGCAATGCTGTGCTGTCCAACACGGGCGATATTGTCTGGCTTCCCCCGGCGATCTACAAAAGTGCCTGCAAAATCGAGGTGAAGAACTTTCCGTTTGACCAGCAGAACTGCACACTTAAGTTCCGCTCTTGGACCTACGACCGCACGGAGATCGATATCGTCCTCACGAGCGACTTCGCCAGCCAGGACGACTTCACGCCCAGCGGCGAGTGGGACATCGTGTCTCTGCCGGGCAGGAAGAACGAAGACCCAGATGATGCAACTTACCTTGACGTCACGTACGATTTCATCATCAAAAGGAAGCCTCTCTTCTATACCATTAACCTCATCATACCTTGTATCCTCATCACATCACTGGCCATCCTGGTCTTCTACTTACCCTCTGACTGCGGTGAAAAGATAACCTTGTGTATCTCCGTCCTCCTGGCCCTCACTGTCTTCCTCCTCCTGATCTCCAAAATCGTCCCACCCACCTCATTGGCTGTCCCACTGATTGGAAAATACTTGATGTTTACAATGGTCCTGGTGACCTTCTCCATCGTCACCAGCGTGTGTGTGCTTAACGTGCACCACCGCTCTCCAAACACCCACCGAATGCCGGACTGGGTCAAAAAGCTCTTCCTCCAAATGCTACCCACCTTCCTCTTCATGCACAGACCCAGAAGCGCCAAAAGATGGGGCAAGTTTCACCAGAAGCAGCGGCAGATGTCCTACAGCGACCTCAAGCTTGACCAGACCAACGTAGACTCCTCCTACGGGGATGAGGAGTCAGCCAGGAAGTATGGGTGGAAGCTCAGCGACTATCCTGAGAATGTGGAGTTCAGGAGGAGGTTGACCTTTAGCTGTAACTCCGATATGGAGGAGGCGGTGGATGGTGTTCGCTTCATTGCGGAGCACCTGAGGAATGAGGACGATGATGAGAGTGTGAGTAGGCCAAGGAGCGGAAGCTCTGCTCTGTCAGTCTGCCTGTTCATTTAGTGTAAACCAGTGTTTCCCAATCCAGTCCTTGGGGGCCCACAGACAGTCCAAGTTTTTGCTCCCTCCCAGCTCCTGGCAAGAAGCAAAAATGTGGACTGTCTGGTAGGGAGCTCGAAGGGAGCAAAAACATGGACCGACTGTGGGTCCCTGAGGGACAGGTCACAAAACACTGCTGTAAATGGAGAAAATTGTAATAGTAATATTAATTAAATCCTCTTAATTTAGGAATTTGGAAAACATAGATGGACGTAGCATGGTATGTAGCAAACTGACCACTGTAAAGGATACCTGATGTGGACGAGATTGTCTGCTTCTTCAGGTAATCGAAGACTGGAAGTACGTGGCTATGGTGATCGACCGACTCTTCCTGTGGATATTCATCCTGGTCTGCGTGCTGGGAACACTGGCGATGTTCACACAGCCCTTGTTTCAAAGCTACAACAGGCCGTCTACAGATGATTGGTAAACGGTCGAAAACACCTTCAGCAACTGCTCGTAATCTAATATCAGATGCAGTGTATGGCTATGATAAGGTCAGAAAATGCATTTTTATAAACAGGCTGTATGTTTTTTGGTTCTTGGTGGGTTATTGCAATGTTGTTTTGACAACTTATTGCTCAGAGTTTTATAATAATAAAAACAACCAACAAAACATTTCATGACTGAAGTCTATTCTTGATGTGTTTACTAACAAAAAAAATCAGTTTATTTATCTAGGTTTGCTGATGTCTAGACAAACCAAACTGGGCGTGATGGCATGAGCTGCTGTCTGCAGACCGCAAGCCAGCGAACACATGCAGCAGGTCGGACACAGAAACACCGTGCGCCAACATGGCTGCCATCAGCCTCTAGCTGAGATCACATGACCAAAGTGGGATGATCCCACTGAGATCACATGACCAAAGTGGGGCACTGAGCCTGTGGGGCTCAATACACTCAATATGCATGTCTTTGTGATTGTTTTAAGGTGAAATAAATCTGTTACTGTTTTGTTAAACTTATACACAGTGATGTATCTCTCATTTAACATCAAGTGACTGTTATTATGACTATTTTCCTGGACAAATACCTTCTTTATCATTGGTTTTATTTTTAATTAAATATGTGATGATAGAGGGATTTATTAAAAAATCAATAAATATTAATGAGATTAATATATATAAAAAATAAATGATGCAACATGAAACATTAAGAGAATTGAAGGGTTGGCATCAAACGCTGAACTTGATTTTCTCCTGCTGTTAAATGTGATATTTATATAAATGTGAATATTTATATTCAGTGTTAATAAATGTGGTTGTGTGATGGACGCCCTTCACTTTAATTGAAAAATAATACGCAAAGGATTAATAAATAAAAGATATTTGAAAATTAAGTTGAATATTATTAAGGCCTGAATGAATAAATAATCATGGTCTCTTACAAGACACTAACCATCAAACGTTTTACTAAACTTGCACAATATGAGCTCGTTCATAGTGAACAGTGGGGTGGATTTAATAAGTAATCATGCATTTATCCAAATGGCTATCATTTAAGATTTTAGCTAATATCATTTTAATTTGTAGTCTGCTGCTGTTCATTATTACTCTCTACAAGTATACCGAGGCAGATTGGGGCCTGATTGTCACGGAAGTTACCGGCGAATACTAATGGATTTCATCAAGAATGTAGCGCTCTGACTGTGGGTTGAACTGTGTTTACTTTTAGATTAAAGGTGTGTTGCATCAGTGTGTTTGGATGACATTCCTGACTACACCCCCCCCCCCATACACACACACACACACACATTATAACTGGGACACCAGAGTACATCAGGGATGAAGGTAGAGGGTAGATTCCGTGAATCATTGACAGCAAGAGGAAAGAGTATGTGGGTGTTTCTGAAAATAGCTTATTGCTTTTTTTTTCCGCGTATTTGTCTGAGAAGGGATTTTTAATCTTCATTTGACACTTCAACAGAGGAAACTCTCATCAATAGCTGCATGAGAAACACTTTAACTAGAATTCTCAAAAATCACATTAGGATGTTTTATTTCAATGGGATCAAAGCTTCTGCTCTCACAGTTTCAGATACTTTATAGCAGTTTTGCCTTTGATTCAGCCCTGGCAGGAATGCCGTCTCAGATTCCAGCTAACAACTCATACCCCACCATTTGGGATAATTGTATTCAAATATCCATATAATAAATTGTTTTTCAAATGGGGGAGGGGAGGCATTAAGAGAGTCTAACACACTGTAGTTACTACTTAAATACATAAAAGTATATGACATTATATGCCATTCTTGGATACATTAAACTGCTCATAAATTCTGCTCCTAACATTTCTTGCAGACAGATCTTCTAAATGACTCCATTTAAATGTAAATGACAGCCAGCTTTTCACTATGGAGCTCAGAATATTTGAATATGTATAAGAAAAACATATCTAGATAACTAACTGCTTTTGGGACAACTATTTAACCTAATCCCCACATGTGGGCCCTCTGAAACATATGGTAGTGAGGTCTGCGTCGCCATGACGATTTGTAATCGCTTGGCTGTAAACAGCTGCGTGTCGCTAATCTACGTATCTGTGCGTCGGCCAAAGCGATAAGGTCGTGCGTCCAGATCCAGCGGACGTCAGCTTAATCTGCTTCTTTTGGGTATTGGCTGGGCCTCTGTGTCGCATGTGTTCTATGTCAAAAATGATTTTCTCCCTTTGGGTTTTGGGGAAACGCGTGCACACAGCACGCTCAGCTGAAGTTCCAGGTATCCATCCATCCATCCGTGTCCAATACTGGGAAATATGGAGGCAACCCGGGGATGGAGAGATTCCCAAGACTCAAGACTCAAGAGTTCGTTTGTCAACACATCCATGCACAAGTACACAGTGCACTGAAATGCCGGTTCCCCCGGGCCCCCCTGTGGTGCTACACATAAATACAATTACAACAAATAAATGTAACGCATCTGGTAGCTGAACGTACCTGAACACGTGATGTGTGTGAACTTGAAGATCAGGAGCTTCTGCATCCTTTGGTATCTGTGGAGGTAGCTAATGAGATGGTCTAACAGCGAAAGCTTCTGAGGTTTCCAGCTGCGTGAGATGATGCCCTGATGGAATTAGTTTTTCCCGATGATGGGAAGCTGAGATGGCAGGAGAAAGTCTCTCCTGGAAGAGAAATTATATATATATATATGCAGACCATGAGAGATGTTCCTGTGAGGCAAATAGCGCTTTATAAATGTACATGCTGTCAAGGAGCTGACTAGGCTTAAGCATAACCAAGAGTTTCCAATGAATGCCTAGTTGACTTTAGCAGTGAGAGCAGAGCAAGAGCCTAATAAGATGACTGTTCAAATCTGCAGACAAAGTAGCATTCAGGGAAGGTAAAGAGGAGCTATTCCCAGAAGGGGGGGGGGGTCTGGAGGCTTTTCTTGAATGTGGAGTGGGAATACAACGACGGGATGTAGCTTGGCAGTCCATGCCACCGGGGAGAGGGGGGGCACAGGAGAAACGCCTGGAATGAGTCTCATATGGTGACGGCATCTCCTAGTGGCATTGGTTTGCTGACCGAAGAGGCCGAGATGGGATGTATGTCAATTAATGGTTCGGAAAGCCATTACCAGGGTCTTGATCTTGACACGGGCAGCTGTAAGGAGCCAATGAAGAGAGACAGGGAGGGGTGTGACATGAAAGAATTCCGGCGGATTGAATTCCAGACGTGCTGCCACATTTTGAATCATTTGCAGCGGTTTCACAGCAGAAGCTGGTAAACTGCATGCTAAAGCAATGCCATAGTCATAAGATAAAATCAGAATGAAGGTTCCACCGAGATTTGAACTCAGATCGCTGGATTCAAAGTCCAGAGTGCTAACCATTACACCATGGAACCTGTAGATGGGTTACACTGTACGCCAGAACCAGTGAAAGCCCAGCCTCGGCATCTTTGCTACACACTGTCAGAACTATCGCAGTGAAGGCCAGTTCCCACTTTAAGCTACCAGGCTACATGCAGTTCAGACCAGGTAATCTGAAGCTAAGCAGGTTTGGGCCTGGCCAGTACTTGGATAAGAGACCAAGTAAGAAAGCTGTCTTGCTGCTGGTAGAGGTGTTGGTGTGGCCAGCAGGGGGAGCCCATCCTGTGGTCAGTGTGGATCCCAGTGTCCTAGTGCAGTGATGGGGATGCTGTGCTGTAAAAATTGTCCTGGATGAGACATGAAACTGAGGTTCTGACTTTGAAGTCATAATAGGTCACTGGGACAAAGTAGCCTGATGCCCTGGCTAAATTGCCCACTGTGGCCCTTTCAGATCTGGCCTCCTAATCATTCCCTGTATCTAACTGGTGAATTCTCTCCTGCCTCTTCACCACCTTAGTGTGAGGTGAGCGTACTGGTGCAGAATGGCTGCCGTTGCATCACCCAGTTGGGGGCTACACAGTGGTGGAAGTGACTTTCCATTGGTTCTGTAAAGCACTTTGGATGTCTTGGGGGAAAAAAGCACGATATCAACATAATATTCATTCAGATAAGCAAGCTTTCATGTTTGTCGCATTTTAATGCAATTAAATTAATTAATGGGATTCGATGTGACATGTGACTTCGCTCAACCAAGAAAGTCAGCCTGACAGAAGGAGCAGAAGTGAGACAGAACTTTACATGTGACTTTCTGAGGGATTCCTGCTGGTGCGTGCAGAGTTTAGGCAAATCGATGGACTTAACAAACACAAAGTCAGAACAGAACTGAGATTGCCAAGTCCTGTTTCAAAGATTCCATAGAACACTAATGCTGGATTGACAAACTGAGAGCCAGGATGCACTGCTTGCTAAAACAAGTGAATGAATTGTGTTCCAGAGATGGAGAAGGAGAGAGTGATAAGAATGTATGTTCGTAACACAGGTGCAAGAGAAAAAGCAGGTGGAAGGAAGGTCTGTCTATTAAAAGCGCCAAGTGTTGTGCATTGACAACATTTAGATGTTTTTGGCCACTTGAGAGAACTTGGAGAGAAATGTGGTCCGCAGGGATCATTGGCCACCCAATGGGCAACCCAAGATACTACAGATATCTAAATTTTAAGTACTCAATCAGCTTTCCTGAAGTGCTATACTGCAAAAAACAAAACATAAATAAACAGGAGAAACCTTCCAATTCATCTGGCCAATAACTAATCTAAAGATGGATGAGAGGAAAGTTAACTGAGATTGAGTTATACTTGAGTCAGCATATCGTAGTGTTTGGGAGAGAAAAAGCAGACAGAAGATTGATCTTTGGGTTTGAAAAACTTCTAGCTGTACCAAGAGTAATCAGTGAGGATGGGCGATTTTTGGGGAAAGGATGTCACGACTGCATAATTCTGCCTACAGTTGCATGTTATTCTAGTTTTGTCTTTTTCATCCCGAGGGAATGAAGGACCATATATGGAATATTTGCTTATTACTCATCTTCTGTAATGTGAATCAGGTTGTATCTGTAGTGGAAATGATCAGTAAGCATCACCGACCCACCTTCTTCTTTAAGCAGAAGCACTGCATTAGCGACTGGACGATTGGACGGATGGCTTTTTTTTTGCCACGACCAGACTAAATAGTAACTTGCCATAAAGATTCTAAGCACTGTGTGCCCCTTAACATTATTGCCGAATATGAGCCTGTCGCCCATCCAGCCTCCAAAACAGGATCGCGATACGGCTGTAAAAAACACATTTATGCAAAACATTGTTTGAAATAAAACCAGTTATTACGGCTGACCTGACTGAAGTCTGACCCCATGTCTAATGTGAAGATGCAGTCTGCTTGAGGAGTATATGCGTCATTTACTAAACATAGCAAAAAAAACTCAAAAAGGAATTTTCCGTATTCATTGCAAACATCAGCCCATGCATACATATGCAAATACCCACATGCATATGCATTTGACAGTTGGGTGTTTGTACAAAAAGAGGTTTCCCTGAAGTTTACTAACAAGCTGCTATTGCTATTAAAAAACGTCTTCCGCCTGCAGCAGTAATTGCGGGGGATGTCCCACTCAAGCATATCAAAAACCTGAAAAAACGTTTTTCAACCAGAAGCTGACTTTTTTTTAACTTTTTTCCGGATAACCCGCAATCTGTGTCTGGTTCAACCAGTAATCAAGATATTTGCAACATCATCCCAACTCTGGGTGTCTTGAAATAGCTGTCCTATCCTTTCCTATTTCCTAGTCCGCATTTGATAATATTCTGAGTACTGAACGCACCGATACGAAGCACATTTAAACACATACAGACACAATTAAGGTATTTTCCTGCAAGCAAACACTAAATATAACCGTCCACGTATCGACGAAAAATTAATTTAGCTTTTTTCTTATTTGAAAGATCTCCTGTGCGGAGACCAGCCTGGCGCGCCCTGTGACCGACAGGAACCGGGTGAATCGCAGAGGGCCGTGTAACACAGATTACTGCCCAAATACACTACCTTCTGTTCGGATTCCTGACTGTTCAGTCTGTACACTGCAGCAGATTCATAAAGCAGACTGCAGTTTTGGGGACGGACTACTGGATGTCAGCCAATTAAGGGAAAAGGAAAACCGTATGAGAAAATAGAGAACTGACAGAGATTAAGTGGAAAAATATAGCATCTCTGTCATGCCCCCTTGTGCTTTGATTATTTATTAAAGGTTAATTTAAGGTCAGGCTTCAACAAAGCAGTGCCTTACAATTAAAGCTGGCTTAAGAGATTAAATAGAATTCATTGCATTACTGGTGGTATGAATTAAAGGTTGAGGTTTGGTTTAAGGGATTGAAGCTTGTCAACCAATACTGTTTTTTCGACAATTAGAAAAGGCTCTTAGGGTTGTTCTGTCTGGATGGTCTTCTTTTAATTAATATTCCAGACTGCGTCTATCCAACTGTGAAAGACTGGCATCCCATCCAGGGTGTACTTCAGCTCTGTGCCTGGTGCATTCTGGGATAGGCACCAGACCTCCACAACCCTGAGTAGGATAAGCGGTTTGAGGATGGATGTATTTGTCCATTTTTTCTTTTGGAGAAAATAGACCAATGGAGGCATTTGTAGATGAGGAGAAACAATCTAAGTGACTTCAAACAACACCTTATTGGCGCACACAAGCGCGTGATCAGTTAATACCGAAAAATGGCTCTCTTTCCAATGTTGTTGAATGCAGCCTTCACAAAACGGAATGGAGGAATGCTCCTTGCAGCCAAACCAATTATCTACAGTTAAAAGGGGTTCATTCATTTTGCACATCCAATTATGCATTTCTGAACTTGCTGTGTTCGACCAGAGATATCCAGGGCATGTTGGCAAAAACACTAATTTCTATACCCTGCAGATCTTCCGTCCGAAAAAGACGCCCCATGAAGTTAAAAACCCTTCAGTATTCCCCCTCTATTGGTTCGGACGCATACGTCCGAGTTTTCAATAACAAAGTAAAATGACGTTCAATAAAAGAAACAAATCAACCAAAAACGGCTTGTTACACTACAAAAAAACGTTTATTATAATATATGTAGAAAGTTGCACAATTTTTGTACCATGGTTTTTTTGTAACAAGTAAAAAAAATTACCATGGTAGCCATCTTTAAACAGGTCGAGTGTCCGGAAGTGAAATATAAGTGTTAATAAAATGAAAATTAAGCACTAAAAACTATTTCTTTCACGACCAATAATTGACTTAACATGACGACTTCTTTTTTCTTCTGCTGTTTTTTTTCTCTTTCTTTGTCCCCTTAGGGGCTCCGTACATGGTTATGTCTCACCATAATAAACTTTTTGTATGAACATCAACTTACAGTGTCATCTGCTTCATCCAATAGAGGTGCGTCTAAGGTTTGCAAAATGGTATGGGATGTGCTGATTGGGCATTGTTTGTCGCGCTGGGGACATAAATGTGCAAATGATTCTCTGCCGGTGCAGTATCTGTGGGAGTTTCTCAAGTACGCATTTCGCAGATAGTCTCCGTGAGTTTCCACAGTTATTTTCGGACAACAACTTTTTTGATTGAAGAAAAATGGCTCGGAAGACGTTCACTGCTGCGCAAGTACAGAAGATGATTTTGGAGAGTGATTCGGGAGAAGAAAGTGAGGCATCCATCGCTGACTCCGTTGATTCGATGGAGGAGGACGCTTTTTTGCGCGGAGAGGATGCAACCCTCGACATGTAAGTACATTTATTTACAGTTTACATTTTACTCTTTTATTCTATAGATTTTTATAATTCCGTGATTCAAATTATAATTAACATTTCCTTTGGTAACAATTGTATTGTGGTACATCGGGAAAAGTTCCGCATCGCCTTTGTCAAGCTTTGCGTGTGCAAAGTAATGCAGCGCTTTTGGCTTTTACTTGGGCAAAGTTATTCGGGGCACTTGTCAGGCTTTGTTTGGACGAAGTTATATGGGGCTTTTGTCGGGCTTTGTTTGGACGAAGTTATGTCGGGCTTTGTTTGGACGAAGTTATGTCGGGCTTTGTTTGGACGAAGTTATACGGGGCTTTTGTCGGGCTTTGTTTGGATGAAGTTATATGGGGCTTTGTTTGGACGAAGTTATACGGGGCTTTTGTCGGGCTTTGTTTGGGCGAAGTTATGTCGGGCTTTGTTTGGGCGAAGTTATGTCGGGCTTTGTTTGGGCGAAGTTATGTCGGGCTTTGTTTGGGCGAAGTTATACGGGGCTTTGTTTGGGCGAAGTTATACGGGGCTTTGTTTGGGCGAAGTCTTGTCCGGCACTTGTCGGCTTTGTTTGTTTGCATAAAGCAATTCCACATATTTTTGTTGCTTAGATCCTAAATATTTTTCCTTTTTCTTTGTTTTAGCCCCCAAAGGCCAGAATCTCCACCGGTTTCTCCACCTCCAATTGCACGTCAGAGGCAGTCTACTCGTGCAAAGAGAAGAAAGGTTAGCCACCCCAGCTCTTCTGGCCCAGAAGCCAAGGGTGGATGGCACAAAGTGGACACTTCTGATCAGGAGCCTCAGCCATTCATGTTCTGCCCGAGGAGGGATCCTGGAGTTCAGCTGGACCTACAGCAAGAATACAGCCCTCTTGATGTTTTCCAGCTGTTCTTCACGAAGGCTGTGCTGGCAACCCTGTGCCTACATACTAACAAGTATGCAAGGCATAAGCACAGCCAGGGATCCAAGCAAACTTGGAAGAACATCGACACAGGAGAATTGCTGACCTATCTTGGCCTCACGATTTACATGGGTTTGGTGAGGTTTGCACACATCAAGGACATGTGGAGCACTGATAAGCTGCATCGCCACCCTTTCCCAGCTTCTGTTATGTCTTGCAACAGGTTCAAGGCCATCTCGTCGTTCCTGCACATGAGTGATCCAGAAGCTGACGTCACCAACGACAGGCTGAAAGGTTCTCCTGGCTACGACCCCCTGTTCAGATTGAGGCCCCTGCGTGATGACATCATCATGTCCTGCAAAGCATACTACCACCCACATCAGAACATCACCATTGATGAGCGCATGGTTGCTTCCAAAGGTAGGCACAGGATGAAGCAGTACATGAAGGACAAGCCAACAAAATGGGGCTTCAAGCTGTTTGCCCTGGCAGACAGTCAGACAGGGTACACATTCGACTTTAGCGTGTACCAGGGCAAACAGCTTGCACCTAGTGGGAAAGGGCTGAGTTTTGATTCTGTGGTCAACCTCCTTCCTGTGTCTTTTCTTGGAACTGGATATAGGCTTTATGTGGATAATTTCTATACCAGCACTGCTCTCTTCACCCATCTGTATTCTCAAAACATTGCGGCCTGTGGCACAATCAGGGAAAATAGGATTGGCTTCCCTAAAACCAAGGTGAATGATCTACCAAAGAAAGCTACACGAGGGGACATCAGGTGGGTTAGGGAAGGTCCTCTCCTGTATGTGAAATGGAAGGACACACGGGAAGTTACCATGTGTTCTTCCATCCACAAGGCTTTCAGTGGAAATCGGGTTTCTCGCAGTGTGAAGGCAGCTGATGGGTGGAGACAGCAGCGTGTACCAGTGCCTGATGCAGTGTTGGATTATAATAAATACATGGGGGGCGTGGACTTATCTGGCGCCTTCATCAAGCACTGCACTGTGGCCAAGAAGACCACGAAGTGGTATAAGAAGTTCTTCTACCACTTCGTGGATATTGCGGTGGTGAACAGCTTCATCATCCACGCAGCCATCGCCAGGGAGAAGAAGCAGAGGCCTCTCACACAGAAACGCTTTCGAGAGATTCTGTGTGAGCAGTTGTCTGCCTGTGGACACACTGAGTCAGTGGTGCCAGTGCAAGTGCCACAGCCACAGAAGCAGATGTGTGTCCCAGTGGCTATTACTGACACTTCTGCTGTGGACTCCAGGGTGAAGGCCACACAGGGCCGGAAGTACTGTGTGCACTGCCACTCCAAGAAGCTAAGTAATAAAACTATTTACAAATGCTTAGCATGCAATGTGCCACTCTGCATAGTTGCGGACCGCATCTGTTTTGCAGAGTGGCATCTGCAGAAAAACACATAGATGGAGGGGCAGTGCACACGGGGGTACACTGTCTTGGATGGGTTTGGTACAAGTTGTAAATATAGATTTTTTCCCCAAATGCGTAGTAATGTTGTGACCACAATGTTTCTTATGGTGCTTTGCATGTAAATAAAATGCAGTTTTTTTTTTCCAGCATATGTGGTCATATTGTGTGAAATAATTTCTTATGGGCTGTTTTGGACATGTTTGCCACAATTTGTATGAATAAAATATAGATTTTCCTCCAAATGTGTGGTGGTGATGTGTGACTAAGTGGTAATGCATTTAGAAAGAAAGACGCTATCCCAAAAAACACCGCTAGTTACACTGGACAGTTTGGATAGGTTTCAGGTTTCATCAGGTTTTGGATAGAAAGGGCTCCCAGTTGCACCATTTGCTCTTTCCTCCGTAAAACCAGTTGGGCTCCATCAGATGATGTGAAATTGTGCACACATGTAGAAAACAAGTTTGGGAACCAGAATTTTAAATTGGACCTAATCCATCATGTAGTTTTTGAAATATTTGCAAAAATCCAAGACACAAAGACAGATTTTGTATTTTTCCAGCTGTTCTTGTTATATTTGCATGTCCATAAATCATACACAGGTTATTCATTTTGGTTATTGAACTTCCTACAATTAATTGTGAAGGGGTCAGCTTTGATTTTAGGTAATCGGCATGTGTCTGTGACTTTTATATCTGAAGTTATAAGGTAATTATTCCAAAGAGGGATGAAATGGCCTGTTATCATGGGGCCCAGGTGCATTCCATAGGGTATTAATTCAGCCTGTCTGTTCTTCTCACCCCGAACACAGGACAGTTGTTGAATTTCCTAACTGAGGATCACTCGTTCTATTGTTTAACAGCAACTGCAAATATAATGAAGAGATATACAGTACATGGGAATATTATGGGCTTTTTATATTCCATTACAAATCTGGGATTATGGAGGATAACTTTTAAACTACAATTCCTAAAATTTTTCAAGCACAGTCGGATTGCTCTAGGTTAAGGACCCAAAATAATGCACTTTCATGGGACCCAAAAGTCTTTGGCATCGCCCCTGCTTGGGGTGCCAGAACACCTGCCCCAGAACAATTGGAAGTACCTTTCCTTTGAAATTCTGAAGCGCCCTTTTTGACTACAAGCCGGTCGGTCAATTTGGCGTATTTTACCGAGGCGGACTACCACCCCCCCACCAGTCGAGCACCTGCCCCTTAAAGAATCTCTGCTTACAAAGTACCTACTGTTTATTATGGCCGGAGTCATTATAGGGTGTGCGTTGTACAGTCATCGCCCTCTTAAATAAATAAAATGCATCAAGTGTATCTTTTTCTAAATCTGGATAACATTTTTTCTCAGGTTATCTGTTCAGCTCAAACATTCAATGACTTAAAGCCCCCAGCAATAGTGGAGGGGGGGGGGAGCATTTTCTTTTGGAGATGGAGGAAAAGGGTAACAAGGAATTAAGAAAAAAGCTTTAAAATCTGAGGGAAAGGTACGGAGCGACGAGCCGCGTTTAATGGTTTCATTCATGGGAGCAGAGTTCATTCAGGGATGCACGATAAAACATGGATGAGAGGGGAACCGGCAAAGCGTAAAATGCCATTCGCTGGACTTTTGAGACAAAAGCGGAACGTTCCACTTTCTGTTCTAGCATTTTAGTGGAGAAGCAGAGAGCACACATTCATCTGCTGAGCATCCACGTAGCGGTCACCATCAGGCACCTACGAACAGCCACACAGAGAGATGGATCAAATCACTATTAAAGGAGGTTTGTATCTATCGATGTAGCATACCTGGAGTCCTAATACCAGTGGTCTGACGAATTGGCACATCTCGCCGCTATGAAAAGCCCACCGAAGGGGATAATTGCATCTGCCCGTTCGAACCAAAGTCTGAAAATAATCAAAATATCTTTTTCCGAAAGATTCGTACCGTGTAATTTCCTGGAAGGCTACTGAGCAACTAAACCTTTTTTTCGAACGGAAATGCGTTCTTCTGTCTCATCACCATTTGATCACTAAGACTTTGTGCAGAAAGAACTATAGGCCCATAACAATGCTGCAGGTTAAAAAAGTTTTCTCCCCGTTTTTTTCTTCCTAACTGCACTACTGCGACATTTATACCTGTAACCACGTTTTTACAACGTGAACGTTTATACGAAGAGAACATCATTTGAATGTAGGTTAGTTTGCTATTTTCATCAACTCCTCTGCACAAACAGCTCGGTACCTTTTTGCTACTGACAGTTGTTTTGCGGCCAGAATCCATACAAGTAGGTTTGTTTACAACTATTTGAATAATGTACAATGCCAGATTATTATTAAGCGTTATGAAACCCGCCTGAAATACAGATCACCATGATTTGCCATTTTGCAGTGATTGTTATATTGATATTGAACAATAAAGCAATAAAACAAGAGCATTGCTTTCCAGTGATGAATTGTATCATAAATTAAATGTCAGTGTTGCACATAATCACAAAGCAACCTCCAGTAGATAAGGCTACTGTGGGTTCTCTCAGTGCACTGGATGCCTTTCGGCACACTGGGAAAGAGATCAAACGTAGCTTACAGTCTATAGGTTACTGGGCTGCCGTGAAGGGCAATACAGAAGGGTATAGGGGCACATTTTGCAAAAAAACGACGAAGCTTAATTCAGGAGCTGGTGAGGTTGCTACTGTATCTTCCAAGTGCTATTACATGTTAGATGTCTCTAACAGTCGTGTCTAATTATATACTGTTGTTTTTTTTTGTACTGGGTGTAGTTGAATAAGTTAGCATTCCGACGTCACAAATGGGCAATAAAACATCTTGAATCTTCACACAAACATGTTGGTGTTGGCGCCGTTGTAGGGAATAGCAGTGTTGCTTATTATATATCAGCCTCGCCAATAAACAGATATATAATGGCATGTATTTCGATAGAGTTTATTCCTGCTGTTGGTGTCACGAGTGGCGCAGACTCTGTGGTAGGTGACGCATTCCCCTGTCTGGGGGTCGTATCTGCCTTAGGATAACTTGTCAGATTTAAGGTAGTCTGGGCTAAAAGTAAGTGAAGAAACATATGTACCCAAAGGTACAAACAGCATTAATGTACCCCCAATGGTACAAAAATGTTCCTCATAGACCATTTCTGTACTTTAAAAGGTACAATTACCTACAGCTATATGCTAAAATTGGCAGCCCCTTGAGGGTACAGCCCCAGTGACAAGCAAAGGTACAAATTGATACTCTTTTTTTCTTACATTGAGGTAGTAAAGCACAGATACTGGTTCTGATACAGGGCTGTGACATTTATACTTCATTTAGGAATTGAGTGCTTCTAGATCACCCAGTTATATTTTGAATCCATTTTTTGTCTTTTCTTGCTGCGGTTCTGTCCATCCAGGACCCCCACGTGCTCTCAGCTGACCTGCTCCCACCCCCCTGGGAACACATGGTCCTATCCGAACGGCGTGAGCCCCATCGCGGCCACACTGCGGCCACCTGCCGCCCCGAGGGCACGCCGCCCTGCACCTGCCGCCCCGAGGGCACGCCGCCCCGCACCTGCTCCTGGTTTGCGGGTCAATTTCCCCGATGAAAAACAAGCAGCGCAAACCGCTGCATCGGCCAACTCGAGGAGAACAGCAGCCAGAAACCGCTGACAATTTATTTTAGACTGATTTATTATTTTTATTATATCGAATTTAGTGCAATTTCAAAATACACAGTCATCTATTCGTTACGGTTTTAAACCGATGAAAGCCATATTTTCACCGTACTTCCATTCTTTTTGAGGTTAATCGCCCCGAACCCCAAAAAGAAACTTGCACATGAAAAAGACCCCCTTTTTTTGCTCCGACGCGCCCCCAAAAATATAGGCTACACATAAACACCAGAAGGCAGAATAATGATTAAGTTTCATTTTGACACGGAGACATTTGTTCGTTTAAGCAACTTATTTGCTGAAATGTGCTCAACTGCTCCTTCTCACTTCATGTCTTAATTGAGCCTTCATAGACCAAAGACCTCTCGGTGCGAGGGACCGCTGCTCATTTTATACAGGAAGGACTTTAAGGTTTTGTAACCTTGGAAATTACTGTACATATCCTAATAATAACCCTATTAACGGAATTTAACTCTCCGAGCACAAGGGAAAAGTCTTGTATAGGTTAGTCACGCGCCCCGAAAGGACCTTGAAATATATGTTCATCAATATATTTGAGTATTACCCCGAAATATAAAAAATCCCAGATTTTGCGCTCTATGATTGAAAAAAAAGAGAAAATCATCCATATATGCACATCATTGATTCGTATAGATGAAAGAAAGCCGATTTGCTGTTTGTCGAAGGTTAAAACAGATTCTGATTTTCAGTGTTTCAGTTTTCAATTGCTGAAGCTCATCTCCATCTGGGGAGCCTATTGCCGCGTCCCTTTTAAGACAGCGAGATTGCGGCTGGAGGGGGGGGGGGAGGTGGCACAATATGAACTTCTGGCTGTCAGAAAGCGTGCTGCAAACCTAAGGAGAAGCCGCATATTTATAGTACACCGGTGATTATTCTCATAAAGTGGTCTGATCTCCTCCAACTTCCATCCCCAACGCCGAAACGCCAGATGAATCCATCGGGGGAAAAGACATTGCTGCTTCTTCTAGTGGTTTTAATTGCGCAAGGTAAGACGCGCCGGATGCTCTCCTGATGGAGTTTCCTTTGTGCATCGCAGCGATTGTCGGGGCTGATTGGCAATTAAACGTGAGACGCGGGGCTGTGGATGGGAAACACGCGGCTCTTACGTCCCCTGACTGAAAAGCAGGATCTGCGCCGTTTCCCGAGCCGTGGGACCCGCTGAGCTGCAGTACGGTTCAGCTTGGACCCTGTAGGCATCGCCAGTCATCGGGGGAAAATAAAGATGCGATTTCCCTCTCATTCTTTGAGTATTGAAAGTCCTAAATATCTGACGAGATGTGTCGTTAGATTTGGCAGTCAACTCCGGATTAGCTTTACCGTATAGTTGGATGAACTGCTTGTTTGTGAATGAAGGAAGCGAACGGATAATCGTATTCGGTTTTGCTTTTTTATTTCCCCGCGGTATTACTGAAGTATTAAAATGGGCGATTAATTAAGCAGAGATTTCCTTTGTGCTTTTGTATTAAAACTTTTTGGGAAATGCGGTAGACAGTCATGACAAGGCTGGCCAGCAACCACTGGAACTAAATGAAAGAACTGAAATACCATTTAGTCGTACAGGCTTAATATATTTCCCTGGTTTTATTCTCATTTATCCTCACGAAGGAGCGTATACAGTTACATGAAGCCCTACGGATCTGCACCCCCCCCCGAATTAAAGAAGGTATTTGAGCGCGTTTTGGAAGTGGATGAAATAAATGACAGATTAGAGTTTAATGCGTTTCCATGACCAAACTAAAAGCAAGGTTGCTTGTTTACGGGTAATTTTTTTCATTGTAATAGAGAAACCAGATAACTATTAAAATTATGATCAAATGATTCGTCTTCATTAATATTATTATCCATAATGGCGTTATCATTAACTATCAATTCACACCTCGTATACGTTCTTCCTTGCTGGATCTTGCATATCTGGAAACTTGCCATCTGTGATTTCTAAGCACATATATAGTTGACTTGGTTGCAGACGTGTGACGTATTATTGGCGGCATTGATGATCAAAGTCATACTTCCATACGGAAAGATCTTACTCGCTGGAGCTCATGTTTGTATGTTTGTGACTGTTCAGGTATTGAAAAGATGAAGACGTACCCTAGATGTGAGAAGTTTGCCATACTGTGCTGCATGTGCATCTGTCCCTTGGCAAGTGTTTGATGGATTCCTTGGTGAATCTGTGACGGAAAGGGCATCAGCCTGCTTACGAGAGGCCAGAAGCCGCACAGACGGGTCTTATGTTGCACTGCGTAGTTTCTTGGCTTGCGCTGGACTTTGTCTGCAGTCTGTATCTTATTGAAGGTTGTGGATGTGATGAAATGACGATCTATGTCAGTGTGAGAATGCAGCTCCATGTGTTACACTGGTCTTACAATGTAGTAGAAGCAGAGATTAATCCTTTCTGAGTTAATCCTTTCCGATAAGTACAGTCAAATAAAAGACAGCTGACAGATTTGACAGAGGACAGGAATGTCTGCTATGGACTCCGGTGTTTTGCTGCCGAGTGATGCATCTAGCTGTCATTCGGAAAGGATGGTCGGCGTTTTGGAATTTCGCCCCGTGCAGCTTGGAGAGTCACATCCCACTTCCAGCCTCCCATTTGCAGCTGATTCTCCCTGAAATAGCTGAAGTATGTTGCTGGAGGCATGTAAGTGAGTCATCCTGAGGATTAAGGAGGAGGAAGTGACCTGGATGGGAGCCCTGAAGTCAAATGATTAAGGCGAGACGGTGGCTTCAAGTGCTGCCCCATACCCCCCCCCCCCCCCCCCCCCC